ATGGGACTGGTATTTGCCGATCAGTTGGGGTGGTGCCAGGGGGGGTCAGACTCTGGGGCGGCAGAACTTGGAAGTCCCATCGGTCGTGTATGGGTTGGCGGGTTATTCCTATAGGGGTTCAATGTACCGGCGGCCGCTGGATGCGCTGCTTGGCTTCATGCCGGAGGAGCATCACGCGCATGCCGGAGCATGACGCATCTGCGACATCTGAAATACGCGCCACGGACCGCGATGATCGAGCAACACTTACTGAGCCAAGAAAAAGAGGTCGACACAACGGTCAAAACATGAAGAGGATCTCAGTGTTTGAATCTCAGTACCGGCCTCCTTACCCTTCTCCAGCAGAAGCGATTGGTGCCCAATTTCCTTGGTGCATCTGACAAAACCGACTTAGTCTTGTGAGAGGCGTCGGAACCAATGACATTCACATGAGATCGCTCCTCCAAAGCCCTAACATGTGTTTGGCTTTTTTCTGCCGCAAACCAACTGGTGAGTGTGTTCATAACCAAGTTCGACCTGTACCCAGTTTTGGACCTATGCCTATGCCATATACCTGAGGCTTCTTCAGCTTGGCAATCTGACTTATTGCAGACTTAACTTAACTCCAAGCTTCGTCAACAGATGGCCGAATAGCCACAGAGAGCCATGGAAGTGCAAACACGAAAGCTATTGGGCTTATGCCCATGAAATGTGCAAAACACAACTCCTTCTTGAGCCCATGTTTGGGCTGCCGCGTGCGTGCGCCAAAAACCAAATCTTGAGGTATACGGTATACGGAATTCTTGGGACCATGTTCGGCATTTACAAGGTATACTTAACTTGAGAATCTACTAGCTGCTTCCGTTCGGGGTGACCTGGCTGGACGGGCCCCTTAGCTTTTTCCGTTCGGTCACCAAACAGGACACCAATGTCCAGGAAGCGCTAGGTATACCCTGGAAGTCCAAGTCGACTATACTTTCCCTTAGTGAGGTTTTCAGGATGGTCAAGGACATTCCCCTTAGTCTTTTGACTCGCAGGGTATACACCCAAATGATTTAGGGTCTCCCCTTGACTCATCTTGCGGATCGGTCCGCTCTTCGGTTCATCCGGCATTAGACCTACCCAAACGCGACCTGTCTGCCATAGGACTGCCTTCAAAACGGCCAGGGCTGGTGGTTTGGGGGTCAATGGGGCAGCATATGGCAGTCCCATGCGTCGTGTATGGGCTATAGGCCAAAAGCGATTCAGTTGGTTCCAGTGAAGTGGACGTTATAATGTCGAAGTCGATCGTCTCTGAATTTCTCGGACGAACGATTCTCCCAATCATTCCGATGTTCCCAATCAACGGCACAAAGGTTCATAGATGGATTGAAGTTTGAAGCAAAAATGATGTTCACATAATTCCATACTGGTGCCCGTTGAAGTAAATACATTTTGCATCTGGGATACTAAACCATAATGGAACGCCGATTTAAAAGTCAGCACTTAAGTAACCATTGAATAAAACCATGCATGTAGAAAACATCTTCCAGCACACTCTATCCTGCAAGTAAACGCTATGGTGTTTCGACTTCCTGGTTTGCTCATCACCTTCTATATCTGCTTTTTGAACAAAAACACGTCTCGACTTCAACAACTGGCAGTATACCCTAGAAGTCCAAAGACTATATTTTGACCGACTGAAGTTAAGGAAATTCCTGGACTTGGCTCACTTAAAGACCATGACCATTCTGTTTATATAGTCTTTGACTCGGCATATATCGAAGGATGATGAGCAGTATTATATATATACTCGTATGAGCGCGGCAACTCTGTTGGACCCACAAACCTTCCTAGCTCTGTCTGCTCGGGCCTGGACGTGGCACTCCTCGGGGCCACGAAGGGCTGTGCCTCGGGAGGTCCCCCAACGGCTCGGAATGGCTCGGGCGCCGGTTGAGAATCTTTTCAAGGTAAGTGAGTCTGGTTTTAAGGTATCTGGGTCAAGGATTGAGAAGGATTCTTTTTGAACAGTTTCTCCAGCTCTGCACCCCAGTTCCCACTTTCTGAACGAAGCTACGACTGGAGCCCGTCGACGGGTATATGTTGTGCTTTGGATTCCTGGAGCGTGACATGTCTTAGACCTCTGAGTCTTGAAGGCATGTTGTATGTATAGCCACCGGATAGGTCAGCTCACACTCAAAAAAGCAGTGGAAGCGGTGGGGAAGAAGCAGAACCGCTCGTCACTTGGTCGAAGCATGCTGTCTCTGCATGAGACTGCATAGCTAGCACAGCTCGGACACTCAGTGGAAACCAGCTAGATGTCCTTTGAAGAACTGAACTTCTGGCAATATAAAATTCATTACAATTCTCAACGAAGTGCCAAGTGCCATGTGCCATGTACCCAAGGAATCGGCCACTTGTTCCAGTGTGACATTCATCCCGCAAATGTACCCAGTGCATTCCTCCAAGATCCTCGTCTGGACCCGCGCACTGAACCGACCGAAGGCGGGCCGAACCGCACCCCGCACCGAGGCGCAGTGGGGGAGGATCCCCAGTCGAACGGGACCTGGCCAACAGAGATGGTTCAGAACCCGAACGTTCGACGAACTCCCAGTTAGGTACCCCAGTAAGGTCCTAGTTCAGGTCACGTTCCACCTCTGAGCAGTTTTGGGACACCGGACATTTGCACCTTCCACCATTCACCGAAGAGGTGTGGCGGCTTCGGCGGGGTGTACCCGAATTGATGAGGCAAAATAGATGCAAATTGATGTGCAATTCACAGATCTGGACATTCCACGGGTGTGTTTTTTTTTTCTGCCGTTGGGCGAAACATCACACATTTCAGTCGTTTGCCGTCAAAAGCGCCGTTTCAATTTCAAAAGTGCCGTGTCGATGTTTTTACAGAGATTGCCAAATTAGCAGTTGGCAAAAGTCGCTGTTTGGTCGGGGGAAGTCGCCGTTTGGTCGGGAAAAGTCGCCGTTTCAAAACCTTGACTTAGCATAGAAAACATGTCAATGCAAAAAGTGCTTCAGTACAAAATAGTTGGCGTTTGTTTGAAAAAGCAGTTTTGATTGAAAAGGCAGAAAAACTGCATACTTATGAAGACCGCGCGTACATACCTGGACCTTCCAACGACATGCAACAATTTTCCACCTTTTGGCTGATTTTAGAGATGAACAAGGGAAAACACATGTCACAGTTGGAAGATCCAGGTACCAGCAGTCACAAGACGGGGTGCCGAACTTGGAGGAAGTCGGGGTATCCCTGTCACATCCACAGCCCCTGGATAGGACTAAACACCCTTTCTTGGTCCGTCAAGTCCGGGATTTTGTGAGACACCCCAGACGTCTGGATGAGACCTCGGAGAACGAATTGAGAAAGATTGTGAGGAGATCCAGTTTTTGTTGGTTGGTGCTCAGGGCAGCCAGGCAAACCACTGTAACCAGTGGTTCCAGGTCGACTAAAACCATAGACCGAACGAATCCCTGGTTCCTTATATAGTGGTTTGTCTGGGATGCACTGGGGTGGGGTGCTCTTCTGATTGGCATGTGGCACGAACGAACTGACGACGAGCAGAGCACCCAGAAGAGCACACCCTCCAAGGCCCTGGCTGCTGGAAATGACATCCTTTATTGTGGATATGATCTTGAACAAGGCCTTGATCTTGAACATGTTGAAACACTTTAGTTGTCGAAATGAGGCAATTCGATCCAGGGTTTAGACATGTTGTCGACACATTGAAAACCACATGACCAAATCCGCTGGCTGCCTATCGTCTGAAGCAACCAAAAAGGCACCCCCAATGCAGCCGGGCCACAGTCTCCCCGCAACTCTATCGATCACGAGGAAGTCTTAGCGTGGCCATCCTGACAAGGCCGCGTGGCCCAACACAGCATTCCAACGGACAAATTCATAAAGTTCAATTCACGGCGTGGGCTGGACCTGGCCCCAAAGAGGATCCAAAGCCGTGGAGGCCTTTGGAACCCCGCCGTGGAGCAGTTTCATGGCTGGCGATCAATTCTGATTCAGCTCATGGTCCGACTCCGGCCGCTGCCCAGCACCGCTCCCTTGGGACCTCTTGGACGCTGCTGGTTTGTGTTCCTAGCACTGACACAGTCCGGGTGCCCTGGAGGTCTGGAGACCTGTATAGGGTCGGGTAGGGTAGTCAAGCGCCAGGACACCCATTGGATCATCCTGTCTGGTTGTCCTCAAGAGCACCCAAAGACTTCACCAGAGTGAGCACCCAAAGACTTCACTAGACTCAAGAAAAACTTCTTACAGGTCCATGTGCGACTTCAGATTGACTTCAAGAAGTTGCCCCAATGATTTCGAGATGAAATGAATAATTTTAACGAACACACACACACAAACAAAAAAAAACACATGCATAGCCCCGCGGCGAATGTCTTCAAACTCAGACCTCTAAATTCTCCCCGTGTGGCTGCCTGTTTTCCTGGCAGCGTATAGCAGCCTGCCTGAAGCCAACGCCTTCTCCTCGCCTTCGAAAGCAAAGACCAAACGTAAAGGCGAGCAAAGGCCACCAACATCCACATACTCATTCGAACCACCGAGCTGTTTTACGTACCAAACGATTTTGGCACTTACACCATCGAACCACCACTGGTCGACTGGTGCTCCTTCCCATTGCAAAGGGGCATCACTCCAGAGTCACCCCTTCAGATCATGAGTCCACCGCCCAGGACCGACCCCTAAGAACCCTACATAGGCTCCAACTAACATCAACTAGCTACCGAGAAGATGGGCCAGGGGTGGGTGCCAGGGGGGGGTCCTAGGATATGCTTGGAGGATTACGGAAAGATCGAACAGGCTGGCCCAACATCGATGGTCGGACGCCGAGAAGAACCATTCTTCATCATGCTTCTCTCCTCTCATTGGTCTCCCCTGTTGCAGAACTAAAGCACCATCAATCCCCCAAACAACCCGTTGAATGTCTTCGTTTCTGGATGTCCTCCTTTCCACCAACGACCAACCTTGGTGCGATCCTCGTCCACCGTCCCTCCTTCCTCCGCACTCGTGGCCTTCACAGCCGAAGGCGAGTGGACTCGTTGCTGCGGGCCTCGGGGCGAGCCGCCGACTGGTGGACACCGATGGAATCGGTGGAGTCTACCACCAAAGTCTAACAGAAACCATGTGAGCGGAGATGAGGAGGCATTGATTGCGTCCGAACTGCCGGAAAGGTGGACAATGGACCTGTTGACAACGAGCGGTTTGCTCCAAAACCAGCTCCTGAGGACTGGTGGACATGAACCTGTTGACTGAGGAGTTGGTGTTTGCAGCAACATGATGCAACACGTCTCCGTCTCCGAACGAAGACCGGGAAAAAAAAACACGCTCTCAGATCATCCGACGCGTCAGAAGAAGTGCCCCCGCATCTTCCAGTGCTTCAAACGGTCGAAAAATCACCCTGAAAGACAAAGGTCCTCAGGTAGGCTCTCAGTCACCCGGCCCGGCTGTGACCATTTGTGTTTGTGAAACACATTGACTATTGTAATGGACACCAGGTAACCTATACCTTATAGTGACCATTCGTGACGGGGTGCAAATGGACTCTCAAAGCACCCGATATGAACGACACCAGCCATGCGATGGTTGTCAGACTAGTGATCCTGAAGAGGACATGCCAGGTTTTAAGAAGAACCAAAGACGTCGGGATGCTTTTCGTGCTATTCTTCCACTTCCCAAGAAAAGGAGCAAGAACACATCAAGTCAACAAACATGGCACTGTAGTACTGTACCGTGAGACTTACCGCGAGAAGACCTACTATCTATAGTATACAATGAATCAATGCACTTCCATGGACGACCACCCAGCTCCGCCAGAAACGTACCAGGCAATTAAGCAAAACCACCCAAATACTCCATATGAGACTGGCAGTCCGGACTACCGAGAAACGGCCAGGGGTGGTTGATTGAAAAGGGGTCAATGTATGGAGCATATGCCAGTCCCACTAGTGGTGTATAAAAAACACATGTGAACGAGACGTGTTGGAGAACCTTCACCGGACCCAGCATCTGTTGACTCAGCTTTTGGACCTCTGGACCTCTGGACCCCTGGATGTCTTTGAAACGATCTCCGATGAATTCTAAAAACATGGTAGACGAATGTGAGCAGAATATTTGTAGCAGCTTCCAAACCGCTCTCCGAACGTCCTGTCCATAAAGAAATCATGGACGATCCTCTGTCTTCAGTCAAGCTGTCGAGATGGATGATGAGTCTGGAGAAATGGTAGTGCCAAGCTCACTTGCCTTGCCAACGACTGAATTGTGGACTTCCCACCACCATTGCCTGGTGGTCTCACATGAATAAACTAGTTTGGCTTGTTTCGGGTACTAACCAAAAATACATTCATGCTCAGTGATGATCAATGTTTGTCAGTGTTCTGCAACTCCCATATTGTGTCAAATTGTTGAGGCAAGTCGCCAAACTCGATGGTAAGTCTGCAGCCATTGTAGTCTCAGCCTCGCTCACCTGCAAGAACTCCTACTCAAGGAATCCCACTAAAAACGTTTTCTCGTGCTTGATCCTCGGTCTATCCTGGTGACCGTTCATCAAATGCTGCTACACTATTCCTTTTAGTCAGTCAAGGGAAGATCACGTCTGTCTACCATATGAGGGCTCAATTGGCAGAAAAAAAGGCTATTAAAGTGTATAATGCGGAAATATATTGTGAAGGCAATCCTGCCAACCAAAGAATTCCCAGAAACACGGTTTTCTCGGCAAACGCGTCCAATGATCTTGTTCAGAACTTTCTTTGGAGCACATCACAAGCTAAAGAGTGTGAGCAGAATATTTGTAGGTTTTTGTAGCGCCTTCCAAACCGCTTTGCATAGGTTCTGTCCATAAAGAAATGATGGACAATTCTCTGTCTTCTAACAAGCTGCCGAGCTGGATGATGTGTCTGGAGCAATGGTGGTGCCAAGCTCCTTTGCCTTACAATCAACTGAGAAGGTATAGTTAGATGAATCAGAAATGAATCAACTACTTTGGCGTCTGCATTAGGGAGGTCGCTGCTTGGAATGCTTCACAAGCTTGTTGTCAGGTACTAAACAAGTGCATTCATGCTCAATATGCTCAATGTTTGTCAGTGTTCTGCAACTCCAATATCGTGTCAAATTAAATTGAGGCAAGTCACCAAACTCGATGATGAGTCTGGGGCCATTGTAGTCTCAGCCTCGCTCACCTGCAAAGAACTCCTACCCGAGGAATCCCAAGGAAAACATTCTCTGGTGCCTGATCGTCTATTGCCGTAACCATTCATCAAATGCTGCTACGCTATTCCTTTTAGTCAGTCAAGGGAAGATCATGTCTGTCTAGATCTGTCTAGCATATGAGGGCTCATTTGGCAGAAAACAACATGCCATCAAAGTGCAGCATGTGGGAATATATTGTGAAGGCAATCCTGCCAACCACTGCCAACCCAAGAGTTCCCAGTAACACTGCTTTCTCGGCAAAAACGTCCAATGATCTTGTTCAGAACTTTCTTTTTGGAGCACATCACAAGCAAACGAATGTGAGCAGAATTTTTTGTAGCACCTTCCAAACTCCTCTCCGGATGTCCTGTCCATACAGAAATGATGGACGATCCTCTGTCTTCAGTCAAGCTGCCGAGCTGGATGATGAGTCTCGAGCAATGGTGGTGCCAAGTTTGCTTGCCTTACGACCAAGTGCAAATGTAAAGCTGGATTAGTCAGAAAGAAGTCAACTAGTTTGGCATCTGCAACTGGGAGGTCGCTGCTTGGAATGCTTTGACAAGCTTGTTGTGGGTTAGTTACAAACAACCTGCATTCATGATCAATGTTGCTCAATGTTGGTCAGTGTTCTGCAACTGCCATATCTTTGAACATTGTTTAAAGCAAGTTGCAAAACTCGATGAGGAGTTGGCAGCTATTGTAGTCTCAGCCTCGCTGACCTGCAAAGAACTCCTACCCGAGGAATCCCAAGGAAAACATTCTCTGGTGCCTGATCGTCTATTGCCGTAACCATTCATCAAACGCTGCTACGCTATTCCTTTTAGTCAGTCAAGGGAAGATCATGTCTGTCTAGATCTGTCTAGCATATGAGGGCTCATTTGGCAGAAAACACGATGCCATCAAAGTGCAGCATGTGGGAATATATTGTGAAGGCAATCCTGCCAACCACTGCCAACCCAAGAATTCCCAGTAATTAGCACTGCTTTCTCGGCAAAAACGTCCAATGATCTTGTTCAGAACTTTCTTTTTGGAGCACAATCACAAGCTAAAGAGTGTGAGCAGAATATGTGCAGCACCTTCCAAACTGCTCTCCAGAAGTCCTGTCCATACAGAAATGATGGACGATCCTCTGTCTTCAGTCAAGCTGCCGAGCTGGATGATGAGTCTCGAGCAATGGTGGTGCCAAGTTTGCTTGCCTTACGACCAAGTGCAAATGTAAAGCTGGATTAGTCAGAAAGAAGTCAACTAGTTTGGCATCTGCAACTGGGAGGTCGCTGCTTGGAATGCTTGACAAGCTTGTTGTGGGTTAGTTACAAACAACCTGCATTCATGATCAATGTTGCTCAATGTTGGTCAGTGTTCTGCAACTGCCATATCTTTGAACATTGTTTAAAGCAAGTTGCAAAACTCGATGAGGAGTTGGCAGCTATTGTAGTCTCAGCCTCGCTCACCTGCAAAGAACTCCTACCCGAGGAATCCCAAGGAAGCATTCTCTGATGCCTGATGGTCTATTGCCGTAACCATTCATCAAATGCTGCCATGCTATTCCTCTCAGTCAGTCAAGGGAAGATCATGTCTGTCTGGTACTGTCTGGCCTTTGTGGGCTCTTCTGGCAGAAAACAACATGCTATCAACATGTAGCATGCGGACATATATTGTGAAGGCAAACCCGCCAACCACTGCCAACCCAAGAATTCCCAGGAACACTGCTTTCTCGGCAAAAACACGTCCAATGATCTTGCTCAGAAATTTCTTTGGAGCACATCACAAGCTAACGAATGTGAGCATAATTTTTGTAGCACCTTCCAAACTGCTCTCCGGATGTCCTGTCCATAAAGAAATGATGGACGATGCTCTGTCTTCAGTCAAGCTGCCGAGCTGGATGATGAGTCTTGAGCAATGGTGGTGCCAAGCTCGTTTGCCTTACAACCAACTGCAAATTCAAAGCTTGTGGATGTCCTCCCACCCTCACCAGTCTCTGATGAGGCAGGCAAAAACAACATGATAAAATCATAAAACATAATATACATATATATATATATGATGTGCTGTGCTGTGTGTGTTTGAAGGACATGCAAAGAACAGCCAAGCTATGAATGACTTTCTTGGAGCCTCCCTGGTCAGTTTGACCCTCACAACCCGCTCTTCACGCCCAGTCGCCCATCCGCTCGTTGTCTCAGCTTCACTCGCCTGGCATCCGCTCGCCGTGCCCAGTCGTTTGGCGTTCGCGTCACCGGTCGTTGGTGTAATTTGGATCCAACACACTCCGAAAAAATGGCAGATTTGTCTACATTAGGGTGGGTTTAAAAGGGGTCTATGTCGGCGGTCAATGTAGGTATATGTTCCATACACGATGAAATCACCTGGAGTTTTTGGGTCACCAATACCGGCTCCCATGTCGGGGTGCCTCAAGCGGAACAAAGGGTGAGCCAGTCTTTCGATCGACTGGACTTCATTGAGCGGAGGCCATGTGCACCAAACCATGGCTCCAATCTCTTGTCAGTCGAACTGGACTTCTATACCAGGACCCTCCAACAGGCTCTTTGGAGACCCTAACAGGTGGTGAACCTGGGCACCTGTTGTCACCAGGAAGCACTTGTGAAGTCGGGTGCTGGTAGAGGGTGATCAGCTCTTCCCAAAGCACCGCGAGCTTCACGAGCTTCACAGCTCAAAGAGATGGTCCAGCATCCGAATCGGCGACTGTCAGACCTTTTCTCTGGAAGTACTCACCAAGAGAGGTGGAAGTCAGTGACCTGAACTAGGACCCTAGTAGTGGGTTACCTATGGCATGGTAGTTCGTCTAGTTCGGGTCCTTCAACCTCTGTTGGCCTCTCCACGACGTCACCCTCCGCTTCAGGAGCTCCCGTCGACCGCCGACGCCGTCCGCGACCCCCACCTGAGCTGCTTGGCCCGGCCTCAAGGACAGGGTGCCGACGCCCGGCGGTGCCCGCGACCCATCTCCCAGCGCCCGGCGGAGGAGTGCCAATTCGAAGTGCCGAGAAACTCTCGGCCAGAGGTGGTGGTGGTTTGGGGGGTCAGACTCTGGGGCGGAAGAGCGATTGTAATTCGTCCCAGACAGGTCGTGAAATCGGAGACCTGTATAACGACATCGGAGGAACAATGGCACCATGTGATGTTGTGCTGGCGCAGCACCTCCCAGACGCGACCCTGGTCCCTCATATGGAGGGGTCTGGGGTTTCTCACCAATCCCGATCGGTTTTGAGGGACCAGTCGGGCGTCGTTCACGGAGCGTCTGGGTTCATCATCACATGGCGCAGCACTCCGATTCGGGCTGACGTGTTTTTTCGGTCGCAGGTGGTGACCTGGCAGTGACAGGACCGAGGGTCCTGGTAGATAGTACTGGTGGAATTGGGTTCGTTGGTGTCATAAGAGTGTTGTCAATGTGTCGACGTCCTTCTTGTTTGGCATGGCTTAGGACATCTTACCTGCAAGTTGTTTGGGGTGGGTTTAGAGGGTCCAAATACCTTCTGAGGAGGTACTTGGAGCCCTAGGGTTACACTATATAGGCCAAGGGACAGCATCTTGGACACTACGGACGGCACCCGCGTTGTGCCGGCATCACCTGCTTCGCGCCAGCAGCAGCGCGCCAGCAGCGGCCGGGCCAGGAGAGGTACGACGGGTCGCTGACCCATACCCTAAAGCTTCAGTTGCGGTCCTTAGACTTAGGAGACTTAGGACCCGACTGACCCAGTCCTCTAGAAAATGGTACCTGAGAAAATCAACAGGGTATACAGGTCATACAACACGCTTCGACTCTAGGTACTTAGACCCTCCTAGCCATCTGTAGCCACCTTCTCAGGTCTATGTAGGCCTCAGGCGCTCAAGCACCTGATTAAGCGAGGATCAAGGGGGTAGCAAGGAGGTCTAGGCCACCAGATGCTACTGGCACCTTGTCCGTTCTAGAACCTTGTCCAGCGAACGAATCCAAGAGCACAAATGCTGGTGCTCTTTCTTGAAAACATGTCTGACAGCAAATGCTTCAAAGAAAAGGATTTCTTGTATCCCGGGGTCACATGTCGGGGTGGTTTCTAGTCCCATCCAGTGAGTGGATGTGACAGGGGCACTTTGGAACTCCTGGGTTGGTCTATCCTAATACCTGGTAGCAGTGGATGATGATGGTTAGGTTGCAGGCCTTGTTCAAGAATAGTGATGCTCTTGTTCTGCTGACTGTTGCAGGTCAGAACGGACAGACCGTCAGCAAAAAACACCTACCCTTTCTAAGGATCCGCACCCGAAACAAAGGCCCAAGGGTTGGGTTCGGGGCCCCCACCCTTGTTATACCAAGAGAGGTGGTAGCCAGTGACCAGGTCACTAGGACCTTGGGTTACCCAACCGGGATAGGCGAACATATAGGGTCCTGACCCACCTCTGTGTACTAGAGGCTTCAACCCCTTCCGTTCCAAGGATACTGGACCCGACACGAACCGCACGACTGGACCCGCACGGACCGCACCACCCGTTGTGGTGTCCTGGCGCTTCACTACCCCACCGGCCGTTCGGCTTCCAGACAGGGCACCCCGACTGAAGGGTCCTGGTAGAGCGTGAATGTACATCAGTGAGATTCCATTGAATGAGACTCATGCCGGCGATGAGCTGGAATTGCTCGAATTGCCACCGCCCTGAACCATGTTTCTGATATTTTTTAAACATTGTACACAGCCTACACCTCCAGCCGTACCTCCTCAGGTTCGGTATGACTGGACCCTCCAAATGCACCCCCAAACACCACCTTCACCTCAGGTTCGGTACAACTGGGAGGCAAAACGGGACACACTGTCTCACACAAAGACGAAGCCGAAGCCATCCACGGCCAGCCCAGCCCGGGCGCCCTGCCTTCGACCGCCGGCCGCGGCCCAGCACGCGGCGGTGCGCGGCAAACGCACAACCTCCGCGTCTCGCGATGAGACGCCTCGCCTCGGAGGAGAAGGACACATCCCGGGTCAAGACACGGCGTTTGGAGAGGCATGTGCACGTTTTATGATGTGTTGTGTATATATGTTTGATGTTTGATCAACAAATCAAGTTTAATATGTCTATAGATTAATTATATGTGAAATCAAAACACATCAGGCATCTTCACCTACTACGATGTCGGATGGTTGCTTTAGTTTGATGCTCTTGACCCGTGTCCAACATGTTGTGGTCATACTCGCTTAACAGGAAAACAAGCACCTGCCCGAGTCAGTCAACCCCCCTTCTCCTCTACCCAGTGGATTTTCTTTGTCCATCTATCCGACTTTGCATCCTCATTAGGGGAATGTTGTTAGCTCACTGAACAGAAGCCGAATCATCAGCAGTGAGACAGGTGCTTCACTCACACACCAAGTCAGGAATTCCACTGGTCTCTCTGGGTTAGCCGGCGGCTATTGAATGCCTATCTTTGAGACTCCAAGTCGACATCCACATGCACATCAGGTGAGCAGGGAGACTCTTTGACATCGCCAAGGTCGGTCGACCAGCACTCACATCTCTGGGATTCGGTCTCATTCTGGGTCAGAACCTCTAGTTCGACTATCCCAGGACTGGGTACCTTCGCTACTTCCGGGTCCGGCTCGTTCACGTTCCACCTCTCTGGGTGACGCCCATGCCCGGCCATGCCCCGGTGGGGTCGGCTGCACCACCCGAGGTCTGCCAGCCGAAAGAGAGGCAAAGGCTGACACTTCTGCGAATCAATGGCAACTTCTGCGGTGCCGTCGATTCTGGACGGATGCTTCATCACAGGCTGGATATGATGTTCATGATTGTACATACCAAAAAACAGCTCCAAAACAGCTCTTGGTTCCTGAAAACCTAAGAATTCGAGGGTCCAAACCCCTCCATATATGAGGGTCCGGCCCCTACTTAGGAGGGTCCATGAGCGTCTGGGATCGTCTGGGTAAGACAAAAATGGAGAGACTGAGAAACATGTCCATGCTTATTGGAATGTGTCAGAAACCATTGATAGACCCAATAGATCATGAGGCTATGGTTAGAAACATTGAAAATGATCGCAAAATCAGTCGATTCTTTTAAAGCATCCGTGTGCTCTTCCCGACCCCATTGCCCGCAACAGGCAACTCCCCTCGCAACCCAGGCAACCCATGCCCATGCCCATCGCTGGGTGCGACCCATTTACAAGTGATGGGATAATGCAAGATGTCGCCGTTGTAGAGACAGGCCTCGTCCGATGTCGAGACTCGGCTCGCAAGCCCTGTCTCGCGCTGGCTGTGGTCTGGGACATTCATCTGGACCAGGTGTTGACCAGCGCTCATGTCACACAGAAAACAACCATAAACAACCACAAGGGCCCCCTGTTTCACCTGTCCAAGGGGTGTCGCTCCTGAAAGAGGTGATTCCGGGTATCCATGAACCACCCCTTACAGTAGGGGAGTAGGGGGCCTGGAAGAGCTGCACACGAACAAGAGCTCACTATCCCACTGCCAAGCTCATCGTCAAAGGACGCTGGATCTGCCGCAGACAGATGTTGAAGTGAAGACGAACTATTAAACTCATGTTGTAGGCCAAAACCTGGTCTTAAATCCTTTATAGCTAGCAGTTCAGTTCCAATCCCCCAAAAAATGGATCATCCATTCGAGGTCTTGGCCTGCTCAAATTCTGGACAAGCCAATTGATCCAAGTGCATGTACGTTAACTTCTTCGCGCGAGCAGCGCGCCTTCGCACTCGCGCCTTCGCGGAACCGATGCGTAGATCACGTATCTGGATCCGGTACCGGTGTCCGAAAGTATAGCTTAAGTGCCAGCAGTCACAAAGGGGTGGTGTTTAGTCCCTAAGTGAGTGGATAATGGGCACCCCTAACCTCCATTAAGCACCCCTTTGTGACTGCTGGTGTGTTTTCTTCTTTTGAAGGCTCAAGTGAGAAGTGCCGGACCAACCCGACGTCCCTATAGTCAACACCTCGAACCCCTCGGGGGAACCCGGTCGACGCGACCCGGACCGGTGGACGCGACCGGCGACGCCAGGGCGCCCCGTAGGATCGGCTGCTGCGAAGGCTGGCCACGGCGGGTTGGTCGGAGCCTTGCGGCGGGACAGGGGCCGGTCGCGGAAGGAAGAGAACCGGGTCGGTCTCGGAGCCCGGTTCTGTCTGGAGGACCTGGTCGACCGTAGGGTATAGTGGGTCTCGGCAGGACACCCATGTCCAGGATGATGTGAGCCAAAGGGTCGCGTCTGGGCGCGACCGGTGTCCGTTTGAGGGTTCACCCCGTTTGGGGGGGCCGAGGGTACTGAACGAAACACGTGTTTCAGGATGGTTCCAACCCTAGGGCTCCAGTCGTACCTTCTAAGGTTTGGTGGGACTGGGGGGCCCGGGTGCCATGTTCGGGTCCAAAGCCAGTCATACCTTCTCAGGAGGTACAACTGGAGCCCTAGGGCAAGTATGTCCAAGTGCTTTTATTTCACCGGCTGCGGCTGCATCGGCCTTTGTGTGTTTTCAACTGGACACATTTCGTCCGTCAGATGGACAACGAGGAAGACAAAGACAAAACACCTCCAAAAAAAAATAGCGGTTCCAAAGAACTTGGGCGCTTGATGGTGCTTGGGAGACAAGAACTCCTTCTGTTGGTGATCGTTTTCAGATGAAGTTGCTGCTGTCAGGTCGCTGTCAGGTCGAGCTACACGAAGCAACGGACTCAAAAGATCTGAAATCTGAAGGAAATTCTTCAGAAGAAGAACATGTTGCCAGCAGTCACAAAGGGGTGCGATACATGGAGGTTAGGGGTGCCCAGCTACTCCACTCACTTAGGGACTAAACACCACCCCGTCTTGTGACTGCTGGTTGTTTTGTTTTTTCTCATTGAAACATGGACTTGTTCGAAACTTGTGGGCAAATGTGGGCAAGAATCATCATCATCTGAGAACAAACAACACCATTCAACATGTTTCTCCCCAGGATGCTGCAGTTGACTACCTGCTAGCGCTACCTTTTTCCCCGCCCAAAACGACCGCCAGAGCCTCCCCTCACCCGCGGAAGACTACCAGCTCCCGATCGCCGAGCAGGCGTCCGGAGATGGCGCGGGCGCAGGCGAAGAGATCGTTCACACATCGGACGTACATCACCTGGAGCTGTCCAGGACACCTGAAGCCTGCAAACAATGAAATTAAACATTGGTTAGGATATGTTTAATGGATATTGACCCTAGGGAAAGAAAGAATCACTAGGTTAGAGGATTTAACCATATTTAACCATATCCCAGACGCTCCATGTATGGAATTTATGTCTACATTGACCCCCCCGGCACCACCCCAACTGATCGGCAAATATGGCAGTCCCATGGAGTGCCTGGGATAAAGAGACAAATAGAAAAAAACATCACCTTAAGCAAAACCAGGATCACCGTCCAAGCTGGCTCCCCCGGGCAGCTTTCAAAGGCATCTGTTCCAATGTACCGCACCGAGTGGGGGAGGGTCACGTTCGCCAAGGAGCTACATCCTTGAAAGGCGGCTTCCTGAATGCAAATCACCTTGGATTGGCAGGAGCCTTGGCAAAAAAACAAGATTTCATAGGGTGTTCCAGGCCCGAACCAATACACATAGGGTTCTTGCCAAAGGTCCGAGCCCTGCTATCATGGAGAGTCCAAGGATTCAGAATGGGATACATCGATGTTGCGTTGGGGGATTTAACCATATACTATGGATCCACATACCTTCTCAGAAGGTGTTTGGAGTGGGTTCCAGGAGGGTCCAGATACCTTCTGAGGAGGTACTTGGAGCCCTAGGGATATATAGGGAAAATACACAAAAAACACCTTAAGCAAAACCAGATCACGGAGTTGGGAATGGACAACTTCGCCAGAGAGCTGCAACCCTCGAAGACACTGGTCTGAATGTGAGTCACAGAGTCTGGGATGGTCAAGTTCGCCAAGGAGGTGCAGTTTCGAAAGGCACCCTGCCCGATGTGCGTCACTGAGTTCGGGATGGTCAACTCGACCAAAGAGCTACAACCAGCAAAGGCATCATTCCCAATGTGTTTCACTGAGTCTGGAATGACCAAGCTGGCCAAAGAACTGCAGTTTGAAAAAGCAAACGCACCAATGTGGGTCACAGAGTCTGGTATGGTCAAATTCTTTAAAGATATGCAATTCCTAAAGGTCTCCAGACCTACGTGCGTCACGGAGTTCGGGATGGTGAGGTTCACCAGAGAGCTGCAATTCCAAAAGGCTCCCACCCCTGTCTGTGTCACCGACCGTGGGAGGGCCAGGTTCACCAAAGAGATGCAACTCCGAAAAGCATTGATCCCAATGTGGGTGACCGAGTCAGGAAGCGTCAAGCTCTCCAAAGAGCTGCAATACTCAAAGGCGCCATTTCCAATGTGGCTCACAGAGTCGGGAATCACTAAAGTGCTCAAGGAGCTGCAATTCCTAAAGGCACCATCACCAATGTGGCTCACGGAGTCTGGGATGAACACTTTGGCCATCTTCGTGCAGTTTTCAAAGGCGGCCTCCGCGACGTAGCGCTCCGACATCGGCAGCTCCACGATGAGAAACAAATCGGAAATCTCACTGCTGAAGCGGGCGATGGTTTCCTTGTTGGAACATCTCACCTTAAAGGGTGGCTTGAAAACAACCATCACAGACTCTGCATCTGCAAGCCCAAGATCTGCCAACTTCTCCTCATTTGCGAGCACACGGTCTCCGAGCACAAGCTCAACCACAGTGGTTCTGCGAGTCATCTCGTCCCAGGTCCTACCTGCCATCTCTTTAATCTGTACCTTGAGCTCCCCACTGGTGGTCTCTGGCATCACTTCAAACCACACCTTCTCGCCGTTGACCTGCAGTGCAGAGATTCTCATCGCCATGGCCACGCGGCCGAAAAAGCGATGGCTTGGTGGCGATGGCTTGGCCGCCTTGCCTTTTTGCTTCCCTTGTCAAATTGCTGGTGGTTCATGAGGTGATCAATCTGCTCTGCCTAGCATTCGGTGCTTTGGTCAGCTCGGTCCAATGCTCTTAATGCTCAACAGAAATGGGTCAGCTTTCAGGCGCCTTGGTCTCCTCAGAATGGGGTCTTGATTGTTTTGGTCTCCATAGAATATTGTATGAGATGATCAATATGATACAGCATGATATACCAGGACCTTCCAAGAGGTGTCTTATACATGGCCTCTTTTAGAGATTATAAGGGGTATCCAAAAACCACCTGTTGGAAGGTCCTGGTATATATACAGTCAGTCGCTAATTTGGGCTTGAGCCTCATGGTTGCGCAGGTCTGTCTTGGGGCGTCTGCCATTGGTCGGTCGACTGGCCGACCGCCCAGAAGTCTCCGAACTCGCCCTGCGATCAAGGGAGCGTCGCCGGGACTTGTCGATCGGAAACTGGAACGTTCAGTGTTTTTCCCCATTTATAGCTGCTACGTCATCCAACCTACCTTCCGTAAACAGGCCACCAGACATAGCACCCAGACAGCAAGTGCTAGGTATAGGGGTACAGATCTACATACAGATCATGCAATACGTCGACGTACGAGTCACGTCGACCCATCAAGCAGATCGAACAGCGCGGGCATCGCACGGGCCGGGCTCGTCTTCACGGCTCGTGGTCGCTGGTCCGAGCCCCCCCCCCCACCGGTGCCCGCGGCGAGTCGGGAGAGGCTTAGGGGATCGGTGGGGATCGGGCGCACCCAGGTTGCGTTCACAGCGTTCGCAGAAGAGAGCCACTCGCATGGCCTGACGGAGAAGGCGGAGGTCGCAGTCTACGTCGTGGCATGTGACGTCTACGTGTGGGGGGGGTCCTGCTGGGCCTCTTGCATACATGGTGGCACCCCATCTTTGGATGAAGTCTCCCAAAGAGATCCAATTCGAAGGACCAAAGTGAATGCCAAGAGATAGCAGGACCCGGAACGGACTGTCACCGGCGTACCCAACTGGGATATAGTGGTTTCAGGCGGAGGCCCAGGCAAAGGCCCAGGAGAAGGAGGACCCTTCCTGCAAGGTCCTTGAACCCAACAAGACCGTGCTTGGGAGGTCCAGGAAGTCTTGGAGAGGTGCTTCAACTTCAAGCTGTTGGGAGCCCCCCCAGTCAGTCCAAACCAAGTCAAACGATGGTGGAAACCAGCCAGGTCTTCAAGTCAGACATCATCTCTAGTGCGATGGGAAATGGTGTCTGAATGGTCTTTCTTTCGCAGGTGTTCTGATGGTTCAGGTGGATTGGGCAATTGGTTCAACGCCCGTGTTGGAACTTGCAAGCGACTTATCACAGAACAAGTTACAGTACTTGACAGGGACAGGGACAGGGACAGACAGAGAGACAAACAGACGACAGACACAGACACAGAGAGACAGAGAGAGAGAGAGAGAGAGAGACCGTCCTACTTTTGCCCTGTGTTGGGCCGGCGCCCGGCTGTCAGGCGTAAGCCTTAAAATATGAATGAATCCAGATCAAGCGCCACCTGCGAGCCTTTCTTGGCTGGGTGGGGCTCGTCCTTGATGAAGACATTCTTTGGATCAATGAGCCCTTTGCTGTAGGACTGCCACGGTGTAAAGCCGTGAACCTTGGGGGCATAGAGACGAGGCGCACGATGACCCTGCTACAGACGAGGCGCCAAAGCGTGTCTCTTTGGCAGCAGGGTTGTTCTTCCAGGTGCCTTTCTTGCCTGCCTTGTAAAATTCAGCCCATCCAGTGGATTTGTCGGACTCTGCCTCATTGAAGAGGTTCTTAGCGTGCTCGAGTCCTGTTGGGCATGGAACATAGTTGTCTGCAAGAAAGGGCTCAAGATGATCATCGATCTTCTTGAGTGTGGCATCTGAAGGTTCAGCAATATGCTGGCGCTTGCACTGTCCGATGAGACTTTCTCGAATCTCATGAGGCCCTTTAGGCGGCAGTTCATAAACTCTGACTGAAGTCAAGATGTCTTTGATCTCCTGCTTCTCATTGGGAGTGCGCTTGTGGATGTCTGCTGGAGCTCCATCTGCTGTGATTACACCACACGCAAGAACAAAAGCATACGCGGAGTCTGTCGCAAGTGGGTATTCTGAGATGAACTTAGGATGACTCCGGTTGTTCAACCTGCTTTCAAATTTTCCCAATGGCACGGTCAAACCGGTTGGGAATGGCCCTTGTCGCACCCTCGGGACCTCGCTTGACGCATCGTCCACGAAGATAGAAACAAGGCTTCCCGTCTGAATCGCGCAAAATGCGGAAATCATCTCGGTGCCATGGATCAGGCTCAGTGATGACAGAGTACGGCTGACGAGGATATTCATCAACAGAACCTACGCCAGTGAACTCAAGATAGTTCTTGAAGTCCTGGTAAATGTCGCCGAGCACGTCAAGAACGTGCTGTTCTGAGTACTCTTCTTCAAGAACCTGTGCTGCGCGCGCGAGAGGGGGAAGATGTTCCCACTTGCCTTTGTAGACCTGTGCAGCATGGGTCTTGATAAGCTCGGCAAGACCATGGGCGAGCTGAACCTCATCTTCATGATCAAGATTGTCAAAGTCATCTTGAAATCTGTCTTCGAGAGGTTGCTGGAAAAGCCCAAGAGGGGTAACGCCTTGGTCTCCAATGAATCTTGGATATGGTCGTGCATACCCGCCGGGTTCATGATCAGGCTCAGAGGCTGAGGAAGTTGAATAGCGAGTGGAGGAGGAACCACCCGTGCGCGAATCACCAGGATATGGTCGATGGATTCCTGGCGGTTGCTTGAGATACGTACCACTCAGTGCGAAGCTTGTTGGCAAGAGCTTCACGCTGGAGGATTCTCTCAGCTTGTAAATTGGGGCGGCGCGTTTGTACCGCATCGATGAACTTCTGCTGCAATGCTCGCAGGGAATGATCTGGAGGTTTCGTGGGCAGAGAAGTCTCAACCTTCTTCTCTGGCGCTGCTTCGACGCTGAACGCTGTTGCCTGCTGCCCATTCTCAAGAACTTCGAGCGATGCGTCAGTGACGAGATTCTCCTTCGAGCTTCTTGAGGAACTCAATGACGTAACATGTAAATCCATTCGCTTCATACTTAGCCTTCAAAGTGAAGGTGCTTAAGTCACCAGTATCCCGTATCCAAAGTAAACAGTCATGGGAAGGAGCTGCAAGAAATGACCAAGTAGGATTGCAGTCGGTGAAGATGCGGGAATTCGTCACAAAAGACAGACCGCGGACCGCTCCCAGCGCCCACCTCGCAGCGGTTCACAAAGAGGAGATCCGAAGCTTCCTCTGCTGATTCGGAAGGGAAGGAGGACCCAAGGAGCTATACAGAAAGGCTACCACCTGACGATCTCGGTGGTTGGAATTCTTGTTCTTCAGTCTAGAACCTTGATTTGTTTGTTCTGTATAGCTTCGGCATGCTTCGGCTATTGAAATACCCATACACGACCCATGGGACTGCCATAGTTCTGCCAAACCCCTGGCAGCACCACCCGTGCCCGTTTCTCGGCAGTCCTCTTGTTCAGTTTAGTTTTTGGTACGTACCACCCTAGGTTGTCTGCCCTGCGTTAGCTTCTTCAAGCCTTCAAGTTTTGTAGGTGCCGTCGAAAGATGGTCTCCATGTTTTATCTATGAACCACCCAAACGCTCCAAACAGCCTGACTGGTCCCTCAAATTCTAGGGATTGGTGAGAAACCCCAGACCCCTCCAGAGGATTCGGGCCCAGGGTCGCGTCTGGGCAAGCTTTAAAACCACCCTAAGGATCCTTGGACCCTCCTTAGAAGGGGTCGAACCCTCTATAACAAGGGTTTGTACCCTCATGTATCCTCAAAACCCTTGTTTTTGAGGGTGCGGATCCTTAGGGCATAAAGAAGCTGAGCACAGGCGGTGTTCATCACCGGACCCGGACCCGTGCGTCTGTGTTCACGACGTGGAATCGATCGATGAATCGTACGTGGCACGTGGTGGGAGACACTCATGGTACCTAGAGTCGACCTGTGAGTTCGTACCTCGGACCAAAATGGGAACTCACATGGAAGTGGATGGCACCACCTGTTTGTAGAGGATTTCGTCTTCCAAACTCGAGGCCAGGCCATCCACTTCCACCATGGGGCCGTTCCGAGTGCACAAGATGCTACAGTCGCACCAGCCTGGCTGGTCCCTCCAGATTCTAAAGGACTTGACGTCGGGTCCAGGTAGGTGACTGCAGTAGCACCTGCTTTTCTTTTTTAGCCTCTTCAAGCTTGGGGGTGCTTTAATCAGCAATCAAGAGTCGATTTACAAGCCAAGACCTGTTTCAAATTGATATTATTCATGTGTGGTTTACCCCTGGGAATCGATTCCCATGGTAAATCAATGGTAAATCAGATGAACGACGACGACGACGATCCCCTACAAACCCGACGACGTGCACATGTTCACCCTGAAGCATCGGCAGTATCGATTTCACCCGACGGGAAGACAGCCGGTGCGCTACGACGGGGAAGACAGGCATGATGAGCTGGAAGCCAAGAGGGGACATCACCAGCGGCCAGATGTGCCATACAAGCTGTGAACAATAGCGGCCCTAAATAACCCAAAATAACGCTTTTCACACAACAACAACAACAACAACAACAACAACAACAACAACAACAACAACAACAACAACAACAACAAGAAGAACAAGAAGAACAAGAACAAGAACAACAACAACCACAACCACAACCACAAACACAGACACGGCAACAGCAACAGCAACAGCAACAGCTGGCATGCTGTCAACACATGTCAAAACGAGTAGTGGATCCATGTTCCGCGAAGTGGGACACGTCCCCAACCACTAGCTTCTTCCGCTTCCAGGGCGCGCAAGAAGCTCCCCGCGTCTCGCAGAAGTCGCTGCAGGATTGCCCGGTCCTGCGTTTTCGTGTCAGCCCTTCACGGACTCCGAACTCGAAAGAGTTGAGGCCATGCCGTGAAGTCCATGAAGTCTTTTTTGGATCAACACCCAGCCAGTGGCACTATTCCCGTGTGCACATGTACATCAGAGGCCAAGTCCCACATTCACATGTGAGGCATGCGCATGACGTTAAAAGAATCCTGATATATGACCGGTGCGACACAGATCTGCGACACAAGGCCACAGGACAGGACCAACCCACCTTCAGCAACGCAACCGCCTTCCTGGCTTGGCTGGAGGTGGTACATGGGTGTAAAGGTTTAATGGGGAGACATGACTGGACCAATGGGGAGACTCCTGGAAGCCCACAAAATCAGCCAGAAGAACATGGAGGGAACGAAACCCAGTCCCAGCCATTTCCTATGTAGAGGATCTCAAGCTGGCGCCAGGCTCGGGTTCAGGCTAGGACTAAACCAACCCCGCCTCAATCATCCAGGTACCAGGACCTTCCAACAGGTGGTTTTTGGGCACCCCTTAACCATTAAGTGGCTATTTATAGACACCTCTTGGAAGGTCCAGGTATAGGACAAACCAACCCCTGACCCCTGACCCCTGACCGAAGACACCTCTCCTGTCTGCGGCTAGCACGTCACCGGTGGCTGCGAGAAGTAGCGGCCGTGAGACTTCTTGGAAAGCCTGCCGTGGAAAACCCAGAAATCGATTCGCCTTCAAGGACCATTCAGTTGGAAGGGTTGAGCTGGTGTAGTGTAAAAATTCGGAAGTAAAACAAGGGTTCTTTGGGATTCAGACCAATAAAACACGGGTTGTTTGAACAGAGGTTGAAGAACCTTATATAGAGTATCCTATATAGGTACCCCACTAGGTACCCCTTGTAGGGTCCTAGTTCAGGTCACTGGATACCTCTGTCGGGATTCATTCTTCACGCGAGAAAAGTTTAACAACCGCTCCGTTCACAGCCCGACTGGTTCCTCAAGACTGATTCGGGATTGGTTCAGGTCCGGAGTAAGGACCGGTCCAGGGTCACGTCTGGGTATCTCAATTCATGTCTCAAAAACTCTCAAAGCCAACCATATCTGAGATCCACTCTGAGACCTTCCCTTTCAGTCTGACAGGGCCTTTTTTTTACCCTCGCTGCACCCTTCCCTTTTCGCTGCGCGGCCACCAGAGCGCCAACCCCGTTGCGCCTCGGGTGGCACCGCCTCTCCTGGCAGCGGGCGAAGGCGCGCCTGGTGAGCGATGGTCGGGATCGGAGCGATGTGTGTTGGGAATGAATGGACGCGACCCTGGACCCTCCGTTCAGGGACCGTACCCGGTCATCCTCTGAAAGGGGATCCGGACCTTCTCATGAATCCCTATGGTTTGGCCCTGGAAGAACTAACATAGACCCTGACGTCCTGGCCCCCTGGGTCCGAGTGTTTTCCTCTAGCAACCAGCGGTTTTCAGGGTCCATGGGATCGTCTTTCAGAAGGTAGACTTGGCTAGACTGGAACTGGAAGGTCGGATGATTTTGAGGTGCCATACCTGGATCTTCCAACTGTGACACTTTGGTCGGATGAGTCCGTCTCTTCATTATCATGGTCTCAAGCTGCTCTTATTCTCCTCGGTTGCACTTTCTTGCTGCTTAGAATTTGCTTTGCACCAGGTGGACTATATGACTATATGTGGTGGTGCTATTGGGGTAGCCATACAAGACAGCCTTCATGTTTCCCATGAAAAGTATAATAGGTTGTCGGTTTTCATATACAAAAACAATGTGTTGCTTTTTTTGCATGGATAAACCAGGCTTTTGATGTGTTTTTTGTGGGGCGCCCGGTGAGGGTTTGCTGTTCTATATAGTCCTTTTCTCACATGGCCCACAGCATGACTTTGTCCATCACCTCACTGAGTCTTGGGAGATGTTTGAATGGCACCTCTCTGCCATTGATTTCATCCCTTTTTCCCCCAAGTCTGATCCCCCCTTCTTCGCCCCCCCCCTTTTTCCCTTGTTGACCGAGCTTCGGCGCCTGCATGACCAAGGAAGACGAGGAGGCCAACAAGAACAACACACCTTCCGGTCAAGCACGGCACGCGCGCGATGGGGTCTTGGGATCGGTCCTAAGACCCGGTTCGCATCGCTTCGTCCGCAGGTCGCGACGGAAGAAGAACGCCACGTCGGACGGGCGGAGATGGAAGGGTCTTTTTTCGAGTGGATGGGTATAGGTCTATATGGTATTATACCAGGTGGAACATGGAGGAGTGGAAGGGATTTCAAGAATCTTGGAGTCCTGATTTCTGTGAAGGGCCACCTTTTCCAAGGATCAAGTAAAACTTCGCTCAGCTTTGACATTCTTGTTATGTGTCGTTCCATGGCCACCTGGTATTTCTTTGAGAACAGCCACTTCACCAGCAATCCTTGAACCCATGGATGTTGATCCTTCTCACTATACTGTTGGGTTCCTTTATTGCTGGCGATTGGGCGAGTCGCCGCATGCGACAGCGGTCCAAGTGAGTGAGCAGGCCAGTGTTGAAGGCATTGGGAGCCTTCGCAGCAAAAACACAACACGTCTACCAGGACCAGACCCGGTCAAATGAAAGGTACAAGCAAAAAGGTCAAATGAAAGGTCAAATGAACGTGCAGAGCGGAAAACCCAAGTGCTCTGCATGACCAGGGCGCGCGCGCGCGCGCGGAACCTGCACGACCTCATGCACACGACCAGACCCGGTCGCAAGACCGCTATACGACCCGGAGACCAACTCCCAACTCCGGCTGATTCCGCACCGGACGAAGGGAGTTCGGTCCGCTACGGACCGTAGAGTCGGGTCTTGGCACTCCCGGCCAGGGATCCAAGTACCGAACATTAAGGTGATTGGTTCGACAGAGTTATGTAGGTGCCAAGTCACGTCGGGTCCAGGAAAGTACCGAACCTGAGAAACCTGGATCCCAACGGGATCTTCGATCTTCTTTGCCAACACCAACGCGGCTTTCGCCGCGCTTCGCCGCCAGGGTCCGCCACGGCGAGGGAGGGAGGTAACCAGCATCGACGGTGACGACTTGACCGATCGACCTGCGCTGGTTGGAGACTTTTGGACCACAAAACCCACCAGCATCTTCCGTTCGGGGTCACCTGGCTGGTTTCGCCCCAGCCCACTACGATCAGGGACCTCCAGCAAGGACACCCCGAAAGAAGGTTCAGGCAGACACGACCCGCAGGGATATGCAGGGCACCTCTTATCACAAGATGCCTCTTCATCGACATCTCAGATTGACCTTCCAAGCCGTGCCTTATACTCTTGAATACTGCACCCCAAGAAAGGGCTATCCGTAGCAACTGTTACCAAAAAACAGTCTCTTGGAAGGTGGTTCTTGGCCTCACCAACTATTTCGCCCAAACGATTGGAAGATGTCATCCCAAGTCCATTTGATTATTACAGAGCCAAACCCACTGTAATGTGTCAATTTGATATATATTTGTTTGGGATATTTGGGGATTGTGTGGGTGTTTGTCAATAACATGTTGATAAAGTTTGGGATTCATATATGGGTACGGTGTTGTACGGTATTGTTTTTTTGTCCTATAGCGCCCTATAATTATTGTTTTTGTTTAAACATGTCCATACGATAAATTCTGTCCAAAGATGGCCTTCGCATGCCTTCGCACACAAAAAGAACGTTCATACTCCTAGGCCGTATGGGATACATATACAACTCCCAATGATGAAAAAATTCCACATACGACATGATGTGTTCGACACTGAGACATGTAGGTGTAAACGCAGGGTGCTTTTGTACGTACCGAACCTGAGGAGGTACGACTGGATCCCTAGGGAAACTATATACCTGGACCTTCCGAACTCGGGGTGCCCTGGACCTGAAGATCCGCAGGTGCAAGGGCCGGAGGAGCTGACCCCCCCGAGTTCGCCGGTGCTGAGATGCTTGCTCCAATGCCGCCTTCAAAGACCATGAAAATAAGGGTTGACACTGGTTTTGTAGTTAAACATATCGGTAGCAGCACAATGGTTCTTTGATGTTCTTTGATAAAAACATTATGAAGACCATTAAGGCAATGGCTGCTGGAATCCCAGGGAATCGCTTTTCAGCAGCTTCCAGGTCAATTCGCAGGCCTCGACCCCATGGGATCTTGATCACACCCTGGAGCCTCGGCGAGGCCCGCGGTTTCCCCGCGCCCGCGAGACTGCGACACAAAGGAACACGTACAGTACCACAAACACGACTAATGGGACTGGTATATTGGCCAGTCCAGGGGTGGTGCCAGAGGGGTCCTTCTAAACCATGCAAATGACAGTCCCAGTCTGGGTGTCTGGGTGGCACCAGGAAGCGGGCACCAGACACCAAGTACCACGACCGCACGGCGGACCGACCTCCGTCCTTCGCGGAACAAGACCAGTCAAAATGGTGGGTTCGAAGGGTTTGGATCTGGTCGGTTGATGGGGATTGGTGAGTTGGTCGACCAAATGACCTAATGTAGACTCTTAAACCCCCCATTATGAAGAGATATGAAGAGCACGTCCAATTCAAATGGGATGGTTTATGAATCAAGAGTTTACATGAACATCTTCGAACGTCGTGGAAGTGGAACCCCCAGCAACTTCAGGTGGAACTCTCATACCAGAATCCGGGCCCTTCACCAACAGATAGGGGCCCTGGGAACCGGGCCCTTTTCCCCCGGACGCGTTTCGGTGGGTGTCGGGTTCGACCCCTGCCAGCTCGAGAGCCCGTTCGCTCGGATCGGATTCGCAGGTCCGACGTGAGTCACTCAGTCAGAGGTCGACTGGACTCCCAGAATGTCCAGATCTTGAGGACCCACACAGTGGTGGCTGAGTGCCCTCCGGCAGCTGAAGAAATCGAGCCTCAGAGGTCAGCTGGTTTGAGGTCAGACGTCAGATCGATGGAAATGTGAAGATAGGACTAGAATAGGCTATGTTGGAAGAGTATGTGTTAAAACTTTAAACATCATAAACTTCCCGCCGGGTGTGGAATCGCACGTGTAGTCGTGCAAAATTTGATTCAAAAGCGCAAGCCCTCTCAGTACTTTTGCTTGTTCGATGATGTTTTTTAGGGGTCCCGGATCCTTTCATTTTTAAAGCCGAATCTGCCGAAACCCAAGCGCCAGCGCAAAATCCGTCGCCGTTTTTGTCCCGGGCTGTCCTCAACTTTCATGCGTCCTGTCTCAAGTAGACTTGCGCAGTTTTTTTGCACAAGTTAGTACACGTGATGTTTTCCCAACGCCACTGCCATCCACGGAATCACACGACTAATCGATGACAATGTTATGAAACCGATGACAATGCTATGAAACCGAAGATGACTTGTCGTGAAATCGATGACAATGTTCTCAGCATGACATCCACATCCTCATTCCATCACAACCTCCCCCCACCCCCCACCCCATTTTAATCACATGACTAATCGATGACAATGTTATGAAACCGATGACAATGATATGAAGCCGAAGATTACTTGTCGCGAAATCGATGACAATGTTCTCAGCATGACATCCACATCCTCATTCCATCACCCCCCCCCCCCCCCCCCCCCCCCCCCCCCCTCCCCCCCC